TATATAATAGACAACAATTATTCGGCTCGTATGAATATAAGTATAAGTATGTTTAATATAAAAAGTTAATATATATATAATATATTATGATTAATTATAGTTGATATTTTATTTTTTGTAGCTAGCAATTATTATATTAATATATTATTTGTATAATGATATGAAATTCAAATATTCATCATTATTGTTAAAGTTATTATATTAAATATATTGCTTCATCTATTATAGAAATGTAGTTACTAGAACTGTAGGCATACGATCTATAGATGCTAATACTAATATTCATAATTATTACATAATATTAGATTAGTAATTATAAGTATAACCTAGTGGTATAGTGTGTGGTGGAGTATAAATCAAATAAGGTATACTAATTAGAATATGGGGATAGTTGATGGAATAAAATATGTGTATTCAAATGATCCATATATTGATCTTATATTATATTAATTATTATATAGTATAGCATGCTAATATAATATAATATAATATATATAATATAAAAATTAATAATATTAATTAGTAATTATAGTACAACATATTATATTTTAATTTAAAGTAAAATAATATTTACATTATAATAATATACTAAATAATATACTAAACCAATTAGATAAGTTAATTTAGAAGTAATTAATAGATAAAATTATATTTTAATAATGTTCCATATCAACAATTATCCCACATGAATTGTCAAATCAAAGGCTCAAATTGTTTCATTATCCCACTTATCCCACTGTACCCCACTCAAAATATCCCAAAAGGATAAAATTATTCCATTGGAACAATTTTCCTACTTGGCGCCAATTTGTCCCAACCAATAACCCCCCCAAGCCATGACATAGCCTTTGATATCGCCTGTTGCTAAGACATAGAGTTACTTTTAATTAACGACCTTAAAATCTAGAGCATGAACCAAATTAATCTAAAATTTAAATGGTTAGATGTTATCTCCAAATTTCTATTTAACTCAATTACTCTTTTCTAGTATTTTCAGTATAAAGCTGTAATTACATAAGAATTTTCAACATACTCATATCCTAACATCTTCATATTTCCCCCCCAAAAAAATCTAAATGCAGAATTTATTATTTTTTGGTTAGAACTTTTTTCTTGAGAGTAATTTTGATGATTAGGATTATCAAACTAACTAGTGTCATACCCATGCCATACTGCGAGAATCTTTTTATATTATATATTATAAGAAGATAAATAATTTTTTTGGTAGATAGAGAATAAATAATTTAATATAAAGATAACGACTTATTAAAAAAATAAATAATAACTCTTTTTTCCCCTTAGTTGGCACTTAAAATTTTTCCATAAATTGCTCGATTGTAGAAAAATATTGGTCCAATAAAATTAGTCTATGTATCATGAATTTCGGGCTAAGAATTGTTATGGTATTGATCTATAGCATATTTAGCTTGTAATAATTTCTAAATAAATCTCTTCAAGTTACGTATATTGTCCATTTTTCTGTTGACATAGAAAACTAATGTGACCACCCAAAACAACAGTGTGCTTTTAAAACTCTGTAATCTAGCAAAAGATGATGTAATTAGGTGATAACAGTAAATGAATGAGCAATTTACGAACTTATGATCTATTTGTAACTTATCAACTCCTAAGTATGGACCGGTTTATGTGTTTATCTTTCCGATATTGTAAAGGCTATGGAACATCCAACTGTGCCGAGAGGGGGGTGGGGGGTTAATCATAATGTTGAATTGGAAAAATAATGAACAAAAATATCAACCTATAGGCTAAAATTTGTACAACCAAGTACTAGGGGGGAGCATTAATGTAGAAAGAAAATACTATTTTATTCAATTAAATCGGTTAAGAGATCCTACTTCTCTTCCTATGTGCTCGACATTGAGTTAAGGGGGATTAGAAGTTGTGGGAGGGAGGGAGGGAGGGAGGGGGAGCATTCCATTTTTTTTGAAACGCTAGAGTTTTTATAAAATGCAGAAAAAGATAAGTTTTGAGAAACTCACGAGAATAAAATATAATTAAGGATACATACTAATGTCAGTGAATATTTAATTGACGGGGAGCAATATTTTTTTTAAACATACACAAAGAACTAGAATGATATTAGACGACATTTTTAGGCAAAGAGAAAAAAATTAATTATTAAATTATTAAATGTAATTACTACATAAAAGATAAAGAGACAAATCCAGCAATGAAGCGTTTTTTGGAACATACCTAGAAAACTTAAATGATATTAGAGGATATTTTTTAGGCTAAGAGATTGAAAAGGGTTAATTATTAAATTATTGATTATTATAATTAATATTTAGAAGATAAAGAGAGGCAAATTAGAATGATATTAGAGGGTATTTTTTGGAACATACATAGAGAGTTAGAATGATATTTGAGGACCTAAAAAAAGAGATAAAATAGTTAATTATTAAATTATCAAATATAATTAACATATAGAAGATAAAGAGACAAATTCAGCAATTACTCCTTTTTTAGAACATGCACAGGGAACATGATGCTATTAGAGGATGTGGAGACAAAAAAAGATTAATTATTAAATTATTAATAATTACAATTACTATTTAGAAGATGTGGAGATAAAGCTCTTAGAAGTTGCCAAGTGGCAACTTAGAGCCATGTTTCAGTATATTAGGGACTGTTTGAATGCGTTAGGGAAAATAGGGTATTTATGACATAATATGGAAAGTAGTTATCCACCTAACCACTTACCATTTGAGTATTTACATTTTTAGTTAGGAATCATTGTGAATCCTAAAATAAATAGTATTACATTGTTTGGATAGCATAATGTAAACTTGAAAACTGATAGTTATGTGTACCCTATTAAAATGTGATTTATAATGGATATGATTATCATCATGATACACAAAACACTCTAATAAGGTCCCTCTCATAAGAATGGAGAGACCTTATTGTAATTTTATTTATTTGAGGGACTAATTTTAAAAATCATTAAGAATGGAACCTAATACTAATTCAAATATTTGAATGACTAATTCAAATATTTGAGTGACCAATTCAAAGTTTGAAAGATTAAGGGACTAAGTCGAAAAGGAAAAGAAACAATTTATGGTCATTGTAATCACTCGGAGGGCTTTTGTTTTTTTCATTTCTTTTGTATCCAGCTAACACGGCACCAACTTTCCAACAAAATCACTCTAAATTAGAGTGAATTTACTTTCTACTACACCTCATCAAAATTTGTCAAATTTTCATGTTAAAAAAGATTCAAACAAACATGGTAAAGTAATGAAAGCTGGTTGTAGGCCCATTAACTGACTGCTTTACATGATTTTCATTGTAAAAAATACAACCAAACAGGCCCTTAGATAGATATGCTCTGAAGTTTTAACACGTGTCAAATGCTTTAGAATTTTGACACGTGACATTTCAGGGTATTACTTTAGTATTTTTTTATAGATAGATGTGTATTTTTACGGCCCAACGTCAAAGTGGAGCCAGGCATAGTAAACTCGGCCAATTTTTCCCAAAAAAATTTGTTTCGACCAATATTGAAAATATAAAATGCCCATCACTAAAACCCGACCCATTTATATACCTAATGGGTCGACCGGTTCTCAAACCTTCTACCTAAAAATAGAATTTGGCCCATAATCTTCTTATTAGAGCCCTCAAATTTATTCTTCGTCCCCAAGTTTTGCTTCCTCGAAGAAAATCTCTTATTCGAATTTTATCGATCGATTTTGTGGAGATTTTGATTGTCGCGAAATAATTAGTCTCAATAATTTCTGTATTTGATTTTCTCTCTCTCTCTCTCTCTCTCTCCCTCTCTCTCTCTCTCTCTCTCTCTCTCTCCTTAGAAAATTTCCCTTTTTTGTTGAAAGTTAGGGTTTCAGGTCTTCAAGTAATCGATTTTTTGGCTGAGCTAAGGTTATAAGAAAGTAGATATCTTGATTTTATTAGATGTATGCGTGATTCAAGCTCTAGCTTTGGATTTGATCTTCGTGATTTGCAGAAAAAGATTGAGATTGAACGAGTAGTTAGCTTTATTACGATCACGTTTTTTCCTTTTTTTTTAAGTTGAACGGATGTGCTTGATCTTTCATCTTTTGTGGATCTCAATGTTGAAAATTGAGGTTAAATCTGGAATGAAACAATGAATTAGATGTGTTGTATTTTTAAATTTTTTCAGTTAACTACTGTGCGTTATAGAAACGTTGTGCTTAAAGTAATATTTGGCCTACTCCGGTGCAAGGATCCCAAGGCCAAACTGCTTCCGGGAACAGCAGTGCAATACTCTGGTGTGCACCAACCTAGTATTGTTAAGATCTCCTCGATCTATAAGACCTTTCGGTCAAGGCAAAGATCTCCTCGATCTCAGAACCTTTCGGTTCAAAACCTTTCGGTTTACGGTAAGTTCATGAGGGCACAAGTTCCTGCAACAGCAATACAACAGCAACAACGTCGGGATCGACGTTCGTGTTCCAGCACACGATGTTCGTGTTCCACGCTCGCGAGAGGATTTTCAGCTCTCGACGTTCGTGTTCCACGCTCACGAGAGGATTTCCAGCAGCAACCAAGAGCTACCCAAGGACGCTATTTATAGGCCTCTAAGGCCAGCTCAAGAGTCACTAGCAATTAATATGACCGTTACAATTCTTAATGACAATTAAGATTGTAATATCAATGCATTAAATTGCTCTTAATACTGTTGTAACTGTTGCATGCATTAACTCCTGAATACGAGGCAATCAATGAACGCGTTGCTACGGAAACGCGATGGTCACGTCTCAACAAATCAGACGAACCTCGTTTGACAAACGAACGTCGTCAAACAGGCGAACCTCGTATGACGGACGAACCTCATCGAACGAGCGAACATAGTCAAACAGGCGAACCTCGTATGACATACGAACCTCGTCGATCGAGCGAACCTCGTCAAACAGGCGAACCTCGTATGACAGATGAACCTCGTCGAATGAACGAACATCGTCAAACAGGTGAACCTCGTATTACAGACGAACATCGTCGAACGAACGAACATCGTCAAACTACAAGAACGCTAGGGTCACCCTCGTGCAAATACGTGGCGCCAAACAGCGCCACCTCGCCCCGATGCATCCGTGCGAAGTGCGCCTAACAAAGCGCCACTTAGCCCCTCAGCCCGATTAGCCCCGATCCCCGACCCATTGGCCCACAGCCCACGATCCACGACCCACGACCTACTAGAACTTATGAGGGATTAATTTAAATAAAATACTTCTCGGCTTGCCGTTGGCAAGCCTCGAATAAGGAACCTTTTGAAATACCAAAACTTTAACTTTCCACTAGGCTATAAAGCATTTATGAAAAATACTTGTAGTTAATATATATATAGTTTGAAAACTTATTTTGGAAAGCTATTTTTTGACCAAAAAATCCAACACTCAAATATATCAATAGGTTATTACTTGAGTTTTAAAGTTTACACTTTCAGTTTCAGATATATGGATTTGATTCCTTAGGATAATCAATGTTTGTTGGAAAATTTGTAATAAGAAAATAAAAGAATTGAATGTTTTATTCCATCTAACTGATTTAGAGAAAGAATGTTTACAACTCTCTCAACCTCGAATTCAATTTGAATTTCCTGATTACAAAAGAGAAAAAGATCGACAAAGATCATTCCCTTTGTTTAAGTATGGGTTCTTCACGGTGACGATGGAATGCCTCCCTCGAATGCTCATGTCGAGCTTGCTTTCCGTTGACGATCCGACGTTTTGCTTCACTGGAACGATATTTTCTCCTCACGATTTGACGCTGTGAAGAACTTGCAAAGCAAGTTTAAAATTAACTCTTAATGAGTTGATAACTCTGAACGAGTTTGAAACTCTATGAAAGAGTTGATTTAATCGAAATCGGTTTATAAGCCAAGGATGAAGAAAGCTCCTGTTATCGATCTCCAAATTTCCAAGCCCCGAACTCAGTTGAGTTTACCCATATTTATAGAGGTTTTAGGGGTGTAACCGTCCCCTAAAATCTCTCCTTAATGGGGTGTAACCGACCCCATTTCATGGAAAATGGTTTTAAAACCATTTAAGGGTTTAAGGGGTATAATCACCCCCCTTAAATCTCTCCTGGGTGGAGTTGTGATCCCCTCAGATCGTGGGAAATGGTTTTTGGAACCGTTTGAATAAGTAAAACGCAGATAATAGCGTTCTGGGTCCGAACTTTGTGTTTTAGACTTGAAACGCAGAGTTGGGCCTATTTTGGTGGCTGAGAACGCACAGGTCGCTCTGCATTTTGATGTTACAACGCATGTCCGACTCGTGTGTTTTGATGTTGCAACGCATGTCCGACCTGTGTGTTTTGATGTTGCAACGCAGGTCCGACCCGTATGTTTTAATGTTGCAACGCAGGTCCGACCCGTGCATTTTGATGTTGCAACGCAGGTTCGACCTGTGCATTTGGACTTGAACGCTGGGGATGAACCATGTGTTTTGATTTGAAGAGACGTCAATTTGTAGTCTCTTTTGCTAGAGTGTTGCAAAGACCGTCATCTTATAATATTCGTCTTGGCTCCTTGAAAATATGAGAGTCGTCAGATTGTAACTCTCGATGTTAATTATGAAGGCTGTTGATTAGAGCTTTCATCAGTTGTTGCGAAGATCGTCAGATTGTAACATTCATCGATCTACGTGAAAGTCTTCAAATTATAGCATTCTAGAAGTCGTCAGATTGTAACTACCATTATCGGTGTTTGATGGGGATTAGCTATCTGTTGTGATTTTTAGACAGCCTACAATCAAATAGGTCCAAGTTGTGCAAAATGTCATTTTTTATTTGATTTCTAATTTTTTGTGGTTTTATTGTCAAAATAGGTTGCAAAGTTTCTTGCAAACTTGATCATTATGGGTTCTGGGATATTGGGAAGAGCCGTATTTCAAGCTTATCGCAAAGCACTGGAAAGTAAGTTATTTTCTTCCTCACGATAAGTTTTTATTCTTCTCTTTGTATGACGAGAGCACATTTTCACCCATATTTTATTCAAAATAATCACTTATTTTGATATTTCTTTCTGTCGGTATGCGCAACGATCTGAGTTTGGAAGCTATTCTGGTGCTAGATTTCATTCTTAATTTTGTCCTCTTCTAATATATATCTACATTATTCTCTTTCATCAATACCACTTTATACTTATAGTTACATCTTTGTTTTCGTTACAAAATATGTACACCAGGTTCTTCTCTTTATTGCAGCCTTCAGTTCTTATTCTATATGATCCCTTATCTTTTTTATTTCAATTATAATATTCCTCTTAAGTAACTGGATCCTGTTAATTGCTTATTATAGGTGTTTAGAATCAATGGTGTGCTTGCTTTTTTAGTTCACTTCTGTCTGGGTTTCGACTTGAGCATATCTTTTGTAAGTTTATGACTACCTCAGTCATAACAATGGAGAGTTGAAGGGCAAAGAAAAATATATCTCTATGTAGTTTTTGTGACCGAAAAGAAGTTTTTTGGAGTCTCCCAAGAGAAATTGTTGTTTGTTTGGTAATTTGGGCAAATATGTCTATGTGGCAAATATACGCATGATGTGTGAAACTATGGAGGAGATATGTACTTGTGATTATGTATTTGAATATTTTATCGTAATAATTGTTAGTAAATTAATATAGCTTGTATAAATTTAGGTCCCAAGAGAAAATGTTGTTGGTTTGGTAATTTGGACAAATATGTCTTTGTGGCAAATATATGCATGACATGTGAAATTATGGACAAGATATGTATTTGTGATTATGTATTTGAATATTTTGTTAAGTTTTATACATATAATTAAAAATTAATCATGCAGCGGAAATTAAAATAAAACCCAAACAGGATCCATGTGATCCAATTGATTCAAAAGGAATTTTAGATTACGAACCTGTTTGTGCGCAGATTACCGAATTAACACCTGTGATAATCTCAGGTATAAGGATTCGATAACATAACTATTATGAGATCACTTATGATACTAACCCATGTAGTAATCTCATAGTGGGTCTATCCAGTGCCTTGTTCTCTAACAAGTACCTACAGGTTTGATTTATATCACCATATATAATCATCTGATGTTTATCAATCAAAACTCATACTAGTCTTAATTTATCTTTATGCCCTTTAGTGATAAATAACTAGGGATAACATGAATAACATAGTTATTCATAAACATTATAATAATGTAACATGCCAATAATACTAATGTAGAGAAAACCATTCTTTAAATGAAAATATAATCATTACATCAAGGTCCAAATATTTGGCCTAGAGCATAACCACTAACAATCTCCCACTTGCACTAGGCCCAATCATGCATATATCTAATACCCATTGACCTAGTATGTCCATCATGTTTGGCTTGTGGGAGAGCCTTGGTAAGCGGATCAGCAATGTTGTCAGCTGTTGGTACTCTGCATATCTCGAATGAGATGAAAACGCCTGAGTATATGTTTAGATCTCTGATGGGATATGGGCTCTTTCGCCTGTGCAATAGCACTATTATTGTCACAGTAAAGATCCACATGGTTTGTGATACTAGGAACTACTTCCAATTTAGCAATGAATTTCTTGATCCATACTACTTCCTTAGCTGCATCTGATGCTGCTATATACTCAGCTTCTGTTGTAGAATCAGCGACAGTGCTTTGTTTAGAACTTTTCCAGCTTACAACACCTCTATTCAACAAAATTACTATCGTGGCTGCGATATATAGTCATCTTTGTCAGATTGGAAACTTGCATCAGTGTAACCATTTACCACTAGCTCATCTTCCATTCCTCAATACACTAAGAATTTATCCTTAGTTCTTCTCAAGTACTTAAGGATATTCTTAACTATTGTCCAGTGACTCTCACTGGGAGCTGACTGATATCTGCTTGTTATGCTCAATGCATACGAAACATCTGGTCGAGTATATAACATGGCATACATGATAGACCCTATAGCCGAAGCATAAGGAATCATACTCATGCGTTCTAGCTCATTAGATGTCATAGGACATTGAGTCTTGCTAAGAGAAATGCCATGAGATATTGGCAAAAATCCTCTTTTGGAATTTTGCATCCTGAACCTATTCAGCACCTTATCAATATAAGTGCTTTGACTTAGACCAATTATCCTTGTAGATTTATCCCTATAGATCTTAATTCCAAGGATATAAGCAGCTTCGTCCAAATCTTTCATTGAAAAAGACTTCCCTAACCATTCTTTGGTCTTTTGCAAGATAGTGATGTTATTTCCAATGAGTAATATGTCATCAACATATAAGACAAGGAACATAATTGCGCTCCCACTAACCTTGTTGTATACACAAGGTTCATCTTCATTTTTTATGAATCCAAACTCTTTGACTGTTTCACAAAAACGAAGATTCCAGCTCCGAGATGTTTGCTTCAATCCATAAATAGATCTTTGCAGCTTGCATACCTTTCTAGAATTCTCAAGATGAATAAAACCCTCAGGTTGTGTCATATACACATCTTCGAGTAAGTTTCCATTAAGAAACGATGTTTTGACATCCATTTGTCATATTTCATAGTTATAATACTTAGCAATAGCAATAAGAATCCTTATTGATTTAAGCATCGCGACTGGTGAAAAGGTTTCATCATAGTCAATACCATGAGTTTGCTTGAAGCCTTTTGCAACAAGTCTTGCTTTAAAGGTATTTACTTTGCCATCCATATCAGTTTTCTTTTTGAAAACTCATTTGCACCCAATGGTCTTAATTCCTTCAGGTGGATCAATCAAGTTCCAAACTTGATTATCATACATGGATTGCATCTCAGATTTTATGGCCTCCAGCCATTTCTCATATTCTGGACCTGACACAGCATCTTGATAGGTAGTGGGCTCATCTTGATCCATGAGCATTACTTTATGACTATCCGTCACGAGAAATCCATATCTCTCGGGTTCATGTCGCATCCTATCAGATCTGCGTGGTACTTGTGTAATAGGTATAGGTTCCACAACTATTTGTGAAGCTTGTTGAGTTTCCACTGATGGTTCTATTTTATCTTGTGATTCTTGAACTTTTTTGAGTTGTACTTTGCTCCCACTGGTTCTTTTAGAAATAAATTCATTTTCTAGAAAGACACCATTTCAAGCAACAAACACTTTGTTTTCAGAAGGATTATAAAAATAATATCCTTTAGCTTCCTTAGGATATCCCACAAAATGATATTTAACAGATTTTGGTGCTAACTTATCCGAGACCTATCGTTTGACATAAGCCTCACAGCCCCAAATCTTTAGAAAAGACAAACTAGGAGTTCTCCCAGTGTATATCTCATATGGTGTCTTTTCAACCGCTTTAGATGGAACTCGGTACAATGTGAACGCGACTGTTTGTAATGCATAGCCCTAAAAGGACAAAAGAAGATCTGTTTGACTCATTATAGATCGAACCGTATCTAATGAAGTTCGCTTCCTCCTTTCAGATACACCATTCCATTGTCCTGGTGGAGTTAATTGTGAAACAATTCCACAATCTCTAAGATGATCATCAAACTCTTGGCTCAAATATTCACCACATCGATCAGATCAAAGTGTCTTAATAGTTTTACCAAGCTGATTTTGTACTTCATTTTGAAAGGTTTTGAACATTTCAAATGATTCATGTTTATATTTCATTAGATAGACATAGTCATATCTACTAAAATCATCAGTGAATATAATGAAGTACTGAAATCCTCCCCTGGCACTTATGCTTAATGGGCCACATACATCAGTATGTATTAGGCCTAATAATTCATTAGCCTTTTCACTATGTCCAGTGAAAGGATCCTTAATCATCTTGCCTAATAAACAAGATTCACAATTTTTATATGATTCAAAATCAAATGATTCCAAAAGTCCATCTTGATGGAGTTTAGATATGCGTTTCTCATTTATATGACCATGGCGACAATGCCATAAATATGTTGTATTCAAATCATTTGGTTTGGATTTCTTTGTAGTTACGTTATAGATATCTTGATTATTTAATCTTTCTAAATTTAGGACGTAAAGACCATAATATGAATCAACAATACTATAAAGCATGTCATCATAATAAATAGAACATCTCTTATTCTTAATAAGAAAATAAAAACCATCATCATCCAAACTTAAAACTGAAATAATATTCCTACTCAAAGTAGGAACATAATAGCAATTGTTCAAAACTAACAAAAGCCCACTGGGCAAAACCAATTCATAAGTTCCTACGGCTAAGGCAACAACTCTTGCTCTATTGCCCACTAGCAGGTCGACTTTACCCTTTCTCAGTCCTCTACTCCTTTTGAATTCCTACACATTTGTACAAATGTGAGATCCACATCCAGTATCTAATACCTAGGAAGTAGAAGTAGATAAATTAATTTATATAACATAAATACCTGAAGATGTAGTCTCACCACTCTTCTTCTTCTTCTTTAATTCTTCCAAGTAGAGCTTGTAGTTTCTCTTCCAATGACCAGGTTCATTACAATGAAAGCAAACTCCTTCCTTTGGAGCTTTAGCCTTGGGCTTGGGCTTGGACTTAGGCTTACCAACAACTCTTGCCTTAGCCTTAGCCTTAGTCTTACCCTTATTTTTCATCCATTTCCCTTTGTTGACCGTTAGTATATGGCCAGGCTTTTTTTTTATGCTTTGCTCAGCTGTTTTAAGCATCACATGCAGCTTAGCAATAGATTTCACCATATCGTTCATATTATAGTTCATGACAAACTGGTCATAACTATCAGGTAATGAATTAAGGATCAAATCTATTGTCAGTTTTAAACTGAGGGGAAATCCAAGCCTCTCAAGGTGATCAATATAGCCCTTCATTTTCAGAACATGAGAGCTAACTGAGGCACCTTCATTAATCTTGCAAGAATATAATGCTTTGGTAGTATCATACCTTTCTTGCCTTGCCTGCTGTTAGAAGGTCTCTTTGAGAT